TTCGGAGGCATCGGCAGGCTGCGCCGGGCACGACTGCCTCGGCCCTCCAGCGCTCTCACACCCGACTCACTGGGGCACCGCGCCTGGACTCGCCGGTGGTCGTGTTACGGTCTGACTCACTAGGCATCTGGCGTAGCCACTGCCTCATGGCTCCTACGACCGCGCTCGACGACTTGCCTTTTCACTAGCCATTCACCGTAACTAGCCTTTCTCCTTACCGGCGCGCGCCGCGCTACCTCACCGGTCAATCATCTCAGCAGCCACGGTCCTTTTCAGGGCCAACAAATTGTTCCGAAGAAGTGGGTTGTCATAGGAGTAATGACAAAGTCTACACACATCGAAAAGAGAACCCCACAGCACTATATAAATGACTTTACACTAAGACAGATAGCTAATGATTATACAAACATGTGAACAATTATGAGTGTTGTAAACTGTGACAACTGTATTAAACATAACATTACAAATGTGTACAGAAAACTGCCAAATACCTCAAACATATTAATACACAGAATATACAGGATGCCCCAGCAGGAATGTGCCAGACTTCGGGAGGGTGTTGCTTATGTTAAAGTATGCCAATATAATCGAAAACACCTATGTTCAAAGTTGAACGGTTATGGAGATAATGGCCAGAGAAGTGTGAAATTTACAGTGTTACACACTTGTTGATTACCAAATACATATTAAAACTGGCAGGAATATGCAGTTTCTGTAATGTTAATAATGTACATAACATCAAACTAACTAGGGAGTGACATGAAGCCATTAAATTGAACTACAAAGAAACTCGCACGCCATGTCATAGTTGTCATTAGGGTTCCAAGCACTATACATGTCATAGGAACGGAAAGCACTGACATAACATGGCTGACTTCGTATTTTGGTATGCAAGTGTTTGCGGCTAGTGTGAGCCGTCATCACCACACTCAAGGGCAAACAGCGATAAGACTTGTCAGCTGCGTGGACCCGCCAGAAGACCACACTTTTCTTGGGCCATTATCTCTGTAACCGTTCAACTTTGGACATAGGTGTTTTGGGTTATATTGGCATACTTTAACATAAGGAACACCCTCCTGAAGTATGGCACATTTCTCCTGGGACATTCTGTATATCCCAAACCTTCAAATATTAAAAATAAGTGCTACAGAATTAAGTGACATGGTGTGTTAAAACTTCAGGTTGGTACTAGTACCGAAATGAGTTCACTACACAGCAGGAAATTAGACCATGCATTTACATAAAAATCTAATACCTACTTATTCCCATTAAATGACAGAAAGTTATACATTCATAATGACTGTGCAGCTGCCATGCACTTACACCCTACCAGATATTTAACAAAAGCTTTTACAGTGACACTTACATGCCTTCCCATGGCCTCACCATAGCTCAAGTGGTTAGTCGCTGGCTTCCGAAAACGGTGGCCCGGGTTCGATCCCGGGTCTGGTCAAGTAGGATTTGTAGTGGACAAAGTGGGGCTGGGGCAGGTTTTCTCCAGTTCTTTGGTTTCCCCAGCCAATCTTCATTCCACCAATTGCTCCACAATCACCCTCACCAATCATCTGGGGTTGGTACAATAGGCGAGAAGTGGCCGCAGTAGAAGGGACTTAGTCTCATTTCCACTAGAAATAAAAAAAATACATGCTTTCCGAAGATCTAGTACCACATATTTGGACATAGGTGTTTTCTGCAAGTATCAGGAGGTTCTGCAAGTATCAGGACATGCAGTCATACGTTTGTCATGTTGATATTACTGATAGTAGATAATTAAACTTCACATAAGTGGATTGGTCTCCATAGTCACGATATTCACACCAAGTTTCATAAATATCTGTCAACAATTCAGAAGTTCTAACAGAGAGAAACAAACGGCTCTGATGATATCTTAAAGTTAAATATATATCTCAAACAATTTTAACAGGGTCTCAATTTCAATTATAACTTGAGTCAATTTGATCACATTTTCTTATGTACTCTTACTAACTGAAAAAATTCATGTCAAGTCAATAGTGTGTGTTTTCTACTTCCTCATGCCAATGGAAACCATACGCATTCTAGTTAAGAGCAATGCCAGCTGCAAGGTTGGCTGAGGCACACAAGAGGGAAGAAGAATAAAGAAGCAGGTTTATAAATGCTAAGAACAGGCATGCAGACAGGCATTGATACGAAGGCAAGCAGGTGCATATATGTGAGATTCATCAGGCTATTGTCACTTGAAGGAAAAAACTTACTAACTAAGGTATATTACTTAAAATTCAACATGTAACACGTGAAAATTATGTCTAAATGAACAGAACAATTAAGATAACTCCTGCAGAATGGAATGCTAATGTACATGTTACTTTGTAAATGGTGCTATGATGAGGCAGTATCATTTCCACTGTCACTAGGTCCTCTTATGTCTCTGTAACATATCCAGGAGTAGATCAATTTTCACCAACACTCTTCACCAGATTACATTCAATTTGCCTGCTCATTCAGACTGAAATGACACATTGCCACTGACTTCTATTCAGAGTGACACAGGCCTACCAAAATAAGCAAATTCCCATGCTATCTTAGTCTCCAGAATATGGACTGAAGGACAAGAAATTGACTAGCTTCACAGAAATATTGAAGTTCAACTAAAATATAAGAACGACAAATATTAATTACCTTAACTATAAGAGGGAACACTGTTAATCAAATATGTACATCAAATACTATTTAACAGTCATCAAATTCCATTACAAATTAAATCAACTAGATCACATTTTCTTATCTCAAATTACTAAGTGAAAAATTTCATGCTACATTTTCTTATCTTACATTACCAAGTGAAAAATTTCATTCTAACGAAATAGTGAGCATTTTTACTTCATTTGGCCAATGGACGACATATGCATACTAGGTAAGAACAATGGCGACTGGAAGGTTGGCTAAGGAAGGCAGGCACGCAAGAAGGAAGAAGAATAAATGAGCAGGTTTATACGTGCCAAAGAATAGGCATGCAGACAGGTATCAAGAATAAGGAAAGCACATGCAGATATGCGAGGTTCATCAGGCTAGTGTCACTAGAAGGAAAGAACCGTTGACATAACTAAGATATGTTAACGAAAATTCAACATGTAACACGTGGAGATTATGTCTAAATGAGCAGAACAATTAAGATGAGTCCTGCAGAAGGAAATGCTGATGTACATGTTACCTCGTAAATGGTGGTATGGTGTGGCGGTATCATTTCCACTGTCACTAGGACCACATATGTCTCTGTATCATACCCAGGAGTAGATCAATTTTCACCAACACTCTTCACCAGATTACACTAAACTTGCCTGCTCATTCAGTCCCAATAGTCACATTGCCGCTGACTTCTATTCAGGCCTACCACAATCAGCAACTTCCCACAGTATCTTAGCCTCGAGAATAGGGCCTGAAGGAAAAAAAATTAACTTGCTTCACAGAAATATATATTGAAGCTCAACTAAAACATGAGAATGACAAATATTAATTACCTTAACTATAAGAATGAACAGTGTTAAGCAAATATGTACGTCAAATACTATTCAACAGTCGTCAAATTCTATTATGAAATAAATCAACTAGATCACATTTTCTTACCTTATATTACTAAGAGAAAAATTTAATGCTAAAGAAATGGTGAGCATTTTATTTCCTTTGGCTAATGGACGACACATGCATACTAGGTAAGAACAATGCTGGCTGCATGGACGGCAAAGTAGGAAGGCAATCAGGCAGGCTTGAAGAGGAAGCTACAAGCAGGATCAGGCACAGGCAAGCATGACTTGGAGGAAGAACCCACCTGCAAAACAACCGCATGTAACTTAAACCCAAAATTTAGTAGTTGAAAATTAAATCTAAAAGCAGAGAACAACTAATATAACTCCTATAAAGTACTCTGCTGCTGTACAGCTTACCTCACAAATGGTGGTTTGGTGTAGCGGTGCCATTTCCACTGACATAAGACACACTTCTGCTATGTAACATGACCAGTAATAGATAAATTTACCTCAAATCTCTACAACACAACACATCACTGAAGCAACTGCATATTCATTGTCAGATCTGTTTCATGGTTACTGAGTTCATAAAAAGGTCACGCAAAGCACCCCAAGCAGCAAACTCCTTCGAGGTTGTCTAATTCTCCAAGATTTCACCTGAAGAAAAAATCAGTCACTCACTTCCTCGAAATATATAAAGCTCCACTAGGACATCATAATGACAAATATTTAATTATCTTAATTGTAACAGAGAACAGTTAATGTTAAATATGTATGTCAAACAATTTTAACAGTGTTTCAATTTCCATTATAACTTGAGTCAATTTGATCGCATTTACTTAAACGCATGTCATTAACTGAAAAGAATCATGTTAAGTCAATAGTGTGTTTCCTGCTTCCTCATGCCAATGGAAGCCCCATGACTTCTAGTTAAGAACAATGCCAGCTGGAAGGTTGGCTGAAGCAGACAGGCAGGCAGGCAGGCACGCATGAAGAATAAAAAGGCAGGTTTATACATGCTGAAAGCGGCCTCCGTAGTCTAAGGGTAACGTTCCCACCTCATGACTCAAGGTACGCGGGTTCAAACCCGGCGGAGCTCGTGGAATTTTTAAGGGTGGAAAAATTCAGGGAACAAGTCCTCCGGGAGGGACTTTAAGCCGTGGGTCCCGTGTCGTAGGTTTACGGCATGTAAAAGAACCTCATGCCTCAAGGAGGCCTCTGAGCTAAATTATAAAAGGACATTTTCCGCCCAACAATAGTCTCTAACGCCTCTGGTAGATGGGGGAAGCATCTAGATACCGCTGAGCCAGTAGAGGCCGAACTCGGTGGCTGAGTCGGGACTGATGGCACGCACCAGTATCGGTAGGTATAGAGACTGGTAGAATATCACAGGGGGACGTACAATAGACCACTGGTTGCGGTGCATGGGGAAACCCACCCCGTCCAATAATAATAAGTAATAATATACATGCATGGAAACAGGTATTGAGACTTAGACAAGCAGATGCAGATATGCGAGACTCATTAGGCTACTGTCACTTGAAGGAAAAAAAAACTTTGATATAACTATGATATGTTGACTAAAATTCAACATGTAACACGTGGAGATTGTGACTAAATGAACAGAACAATTAAGATGAGTCCTGCAGAAGGGAATGCTGATATACAGGATTGTCACGCCCCTTATGGCGGAGAATACTCTAAGAATGATATATTTTGCATATGTTCATTCATTATTATCTTATGGTATTTTATTATGGGGTAATTCACCACATAGTCTTAGTGTTTTTAAGATGCAAAAACGAATACTCCGTATTACGACTAAGACTAGATGTAGAGACTCTTGTAGACAACTTTTTAAAAATTGGGAAATTTTACCATTTTATTCTCAATATATATTTTCTTTGATGATATTTGTTGTGAGAAATAAGCATCTTTATAAAACTAATCAAGAAATTCATGGTCTAAACACTAGGCACAATACTGACCTTCATTTTCCATCTGCTAGATTAACAATATATAATGAAGGGACATACGCTATTGGAATGAGGATATTTGACCATCTTCCTATAAATATAAAATCATTATCATATAAAATTGAATTGTTTAAACCAGCATTAAAGATATATCTTTGCTCATGGTCATTTTATTCATTAGAGGAGTATTTTAATCAAAATAATTTGTAAATACTGATTGGATGTAACTGTATGTTATATTTTTTAATTATGTTTATTACTTAGTATTATGTGATGTTGTTTTATGATTAATGTTTAATGATTGTGACGAATGAACTTGGAGTAGTAAGAAGTAAAATGTTGTATTTCTAACAGTGTATGAATCTATGTTGTTGTGATATGGCTTGATTTAATGTTACACCATGTATCTTTATATGTTTTGTATGAGATTGTATAAGTTTGACTAGCTCTATATCCTATGGGTGCTAAAGCCCCTGTACAGGATTTGTGGAGTTATTTAATAACAATAAACAATAAACATGTTACCTCGTAAATGGTGGTATGGTGTGGCAGTATCATTTCCACTGTCACTACGACCACTCGTCTCTCTGTAACATATCCAGGAGTAGATCAATTTTCACCAACGCTCTTCACCAGATTCCACTAAATTTGCATGCCCATTCAGTCTCAATTGTCACATTGCCGGTGACTTCTATTCAGGGTGACACAGGCCTTCCATAATATGCAACTTCCCACGCTATCTTTATGGCATGAAGGACAAGAAACTGAGTTGCTTCAGAGAAATATATATTGAAGCTCAAATAAAACAAAAGAATGACAAATATTAATTACCTTAACTATAAGAGAGAACACTGTTAATCAAATATGAACATCAAATACTATTTAAGAGTCATCACACTCCATTACAAATTTAATCAACTAGATCACATTTTCTTATCCTATATTACTAAGAGAAAAATTTAATGCTAACGAAATAGGGAGTATTTTTATTTCCTTTGGCCAATGGAAGCCCCATGCATACTAGGTAAGAATAATGCCAAGTGCATGGATGGCAAAGTACGAAGGCAATCAGACATTCACTGCAATATTAGAATAAATAGTCAAAGTGTGCTCTCTCTCGTCACAACCATAGTGGCTATATACATGCCAATAAGGTACGAAAAATACTCTGCATATAATTCCACACGATAATGTTCACAACAGCACAGAATAATCCAGCTCTTCGAGTAGTCTTCTCAGACGCACCTGTGCAGCCTGCACTTACCTCATCTCTCTGCAGTGACATACCCAGATGCAAGTAGTGCACGATGTCTACGTGTGGATGGTTAAGTGACACGTCAAAGCAAGACATTCTCATGGAATGCCAGCTCCTGTGCTTGCGTCAGGTATATCTGTATGACAATATTGAATATCAGTAACAGATTCCAAGACATCTGACAGGTTATGAGAATGCAATGAATACAACGGGTCTCTGCCGAAGAATAAGGAACGTTTCAGTAAGCTTTTCACTTCTCATACCTCTCACAGACGGGCTGTATCTACTTGTATGTATCGCCAAATAATGGAAACGATGGACATGTTACAACAGAACATTTGGCACATCAGTTCACCTGTTCACCAGTGTTCTAAGTCAGCACGTGCAACCAGGGCAGCAGATACACGAGGTATTGCCCATCCTCTCACATTACTGGCGTGTGAGAGAAATGTCTAGGCCAGGTTCAGTCACAAGGGAACGATGTGGAGAACAATACAGCAAGTATATGCAAACCAATCATTGCTCCTAACATCAAAATTGAACTCTGAATTTGTAGCCACCTTCACATTTATGAACACAAGTGTGTTAAAGTGGTGACACTTCTGACTTCTATTCTGAAGAGCCATGGTTTGAAGTCTGCCCAAGGCACTGACTACCCTGACTGGATGAGGACTTCTTTTCTGGTTTTCCTCATTCCCTTCAGGAAAAAGTTGAGCCAGCAACTTAAATTATACCATTACTGCTTCCATCCATATCTCTTCCAATCGTTATTACCATCTGATGCAGTTTTACTCTCATTTACTGTCACTGAATTACAAATAAAAAATAAACAGGAGTGGAACAACTTCNATACACGAGGTATTGCCCATCCTCTCACATTACTGGCGTGTGAGAGAAATGTCTAGGCCAGGTTCAGTCACAAGGGAACGATGTGGAGAACAATACAGCAAGTATCTGCAAACCAATCATTGCTCCTAACATCAAAATTGAACTCTGAATTTGTAGCCACCTTCACATTTATGAACACAAGTGTGTTAAAGTGCTGACACTTCTGACTTCTATTCTGAAGAGCCATGGTTTGAAGTCTGCCCAAGGCACTGACTACCCTGACTGGATGAGGACTTTTTTTCTGGTTTTCCTCATTCCCTTCAGGAAAAAGTTGAGCCAGCAACTTAAATTATACCATTACTGCTTCCATCCATATCTCTTCCAATCGTTATTACCATCTGATGCAGTTTTACTCTCATTTACTGTCACTGAATTACAAATAAAAAATAAACAGGAGTGGAACAACTTCCAGCTCCAAATACAGGCAGATGCTGTCACGGCACCTCATACTAGATCACAACTGCCTCTACATAGTCCGACCTACTGACAGGATTAGTAAACCATAAATAAACAAAATTAAGAAAAACAAAACAACTTCTGAAACCAAAGTTTTCAATTAATTATAGTCATCAATACATTCCAAACAGCACAAAACCAGTCACTAAAATTCACTCACCTCTGACGTTCTATTGAGTCAAGGGTGCTCTGGGTGGAGGCACCTGTGTCCTATCTTTATCACAGCTCTTGGATGCTGTACTATTCCGTAAGCTAAGAAAAGACACGTAGGGGCCATTTAGCTCTGATGGAACAGGGTGAAGAGGTGGAGCAAACAATCACTCCACTATTCAAGAATTTCCAAACATTTTATGGAACCAAAACGTTCACTGACAATTTCACACAAGCCTGCCACTAGTGCTTGTCCTCAGCCAGATGAATACAGTGCATACCATGCCAGTGATAATATATTCCTTCAAAAGTTGCTGGTCATAACGCATTTACATTGAACTGGTGACACATTAGTTTTAAGAAATAAGCCATATTTCTAGTTTCCACAATTATAGGAACCTAACTTGGGATAAATAAAAAATAATTGGAATAATAGCACTTGTTAAAGCAGTATCTATTTCACAAATTTAATGTACATGTTTTGCTATAGTCTGTGGTGGGAAACTCAGAAATACATCCCTACTTCCACTGACAATTACAAGGTTAAATCGAAACTTCAAAGTATTCTAGCCTACTTTACATTATTGTTTCTCTCTTAACTCACTCCTTCTGCTCTGCAGATCATTTTACCTCTACCAAAATATATTAAGCTTTATTGCGATGTGAAGCAAGATTTGTTATTCTTGTCTTAAAAACTCTTAAGGCTGCCTAAAGCAGTAATGATTAATTCGAAAGCTGAAATTACATTCCCCGTGGTGCATCTTTAAGGCATTTACAACTCATTCTTTCATTACAGAAAAAACGTCAATACACCTAGAAAACCATTCATTCACAAACAATATTGTAACGTGTTTCGTTACTGAATACGCCGTAGAGATCGTTAATTGATTTATTCAACAACCTACAAGTAACGGCTACAATTACGTATCACACAGTTGCGGGGTTTCACACTTTATAACCCTAATCGCAATAATCTGTTTACACTGTTGCGGTGTTTCACGATTTATAACCCTATTCGCAAATCAATTCACGCTACTGTCAGTAGACTACACGTTTCACAGTACGGGAGCTATATAAGTGTTACTGTATCACACACTCCCAGTCAATTATCAGTTATCACAAACTGTCACTGATTATCACACACTTTCACTCGTAACTCACCGCTGGCTAGATTCCAACTCTACTCGCCGGCTGCTGCCTTGAGAACTGTTGATAACACACTAGCTCGTAGGCTTGCTCGGAACTAACTCGGAACTGAACTCGGCGATGGCCACATTACAACTCTCTTCGCAGGCAGTGCAGCTCTCTTATATAAGGGTTGTGTGGGCCTGTTACGTAGAAACGCTGTTACCTCACGCCGTCTTACGTCACCGCGCGTTGCTCGTTACGATACCGTGCGGAAGGGGGATGACGGAGCGCTGACTCACCCACCGCGTCACTGCTGGTGGGGGGTTCTCCGTTGCGCAACATGTCACAATATTAAACATTCTCCGATGTCAGCATTAAATGAATAAATATCGGCAAAACACTTCTTATTACTACTTACATTTCAACAAAATCCTCACTAACCTTCCAAATGACAAAATGGCTGCATACAAAAAGTTAGCTTCACAATGTCTCCGCCAGTGTCGCGGTTTCCAACTTCGATACCCCCACTCCACACTGGACCTACAGCGACACTAGTGGTTAAAACTGCTGTCGATTTGTTTACTGTCCTCCTCATATACGATTATCTGAATCTGAATTGTTCCACTTTTTCAAAGCATCTGTAGGCTATTTTTATGTCATGATTTTGCTCTACATTTTGTGTACAGGCTTTCAACTGTAAACTTAAGAATATTGCATGAAATGTAAAAGGAAACTCTCTGAAATGTAAAACAGGCATTTTTGACCTGTATACTGAGTGTTTTGGAATGCTGTGCCATATATATGTATATCTGACATCTGTTTAGTCTCACTTCAATGTTAGTGTTTATTGGCATAGGTGAAGGGCAGTTGCAAATTATTCCACTGCCAATGATACAATGCCGAGACCGGTATGATTATCACAGAGGTTTTGCAGCTTTGAATAACGCAAAATAACTCTGTCTCTTTGGACTGGTGAATAGCAGTTATTACACAGGCCAGACAGTTTAATGTACTGCAGTTTTAGGTGTTCACGCTGCTCAACCGTTTTGCTATGCATTATCTTCTCACCATTTTCCTAAAATAATGTGCTTTTTAGTAAAAAATATGAATAGAATGTGATGAAAATGCATTTTCATAGGCAATAAATGAAGGTGCATGATGCAGTGAAAGGAGATGATTATTTCCAGGTGTGGAATAGATTCAAATGTCCAGTGGCGTAGCATGACTACCAAAAGCAGGGAAACAACTTTATATACATGTACATAAAATTTTTGTAGATACCCTATAGTTTCTATCTTCTGTTTAAAAGAAAACAGCTAATAGTTTAATATGTATTGTATACTTAAGCTAATATATTAAAATAACACCTAATTATCAACACAATTTTATAGCCATTGTGGGGTTTTTGTTTTGTCGTTACTTCAATGAAAACCCACTTCTTCGGAACAGTTTGTAGGTCCTGAGAACGCTCGTTGTTTGCTGAGATACTTGGCCGGTGAAGTAGCGCCGGTAGGAAGGGATGTTGGTTGCGGTGTGTTGAGGCGGCTGAGTCAGTTGACTGGCCGCAGTGCGGCCGTTGCTTGATCGCAGTGCGGCAGATGGTGGAGGTTGCTTGATAGCAGTGCGGCAGCTGCTGGTGGAAGTCTGGTTGCCGAGCGCGGTCGCTGGAGCGGAGAGGCGGTAGCTACGCCAGTTGCCCAGTGTGTCGGGCATGACTACCGGCGAATCGAGGCGGCCAAGTTGCCCAGTGAGCCGGGTGTGACCGCTGGACAGCCGAGGCAGTCGTGCCTGGCGCAGCGAAGTGCCGATGCCTCCGAAGACCGAGCGCTGGCGACAAAGTGTGCTGCTTGCTTGTAGACTGCTTTAAGACTGCTGATCGTAGACTAATGACTTGCAGAAGTCAAAGTCATGTTACAACTGACGGTCAGTCAGTCTGTTTGTCTTGCTGTCAAGCCCCAGCTGGAGCTCATGACCAGATATT